TTTGCCCTGCAAGATAGATATTATAAATGTTTAACTTTGGATGCTTTTGTCTTCATTTACTGTCCTACATGCAATCACCAAAGGCGATAAATACAACGTGAAGTAGCAAAATTCTTAGAAATACCTTCACCCATCTTTTCAAATAAATAATAAAGCAATACAAACCCAATAAATGCAATTTAAAGCTTCTGAGAGCTTAGACAGTTTTCAGAGAATTAGGAGATCGTTAGATGTTGTTAACAACTATTCTAATTATTAATTATTGTATTTGGATCATTTAAAAAGTTAATTTAAAATTTGTTAATTACCCTTGTGTGTTTACGATCTGCTTATCTATATTACGTAAACTTTATCATTATCATACATAAGGTATTCAGTCCTAAAACTGATTGGACACGCACCTCCACTCTTTCCTATTCTGGCCTAATTTTCGCATTTCCCTAAAACAACGATAGAACATCCCACATCTTTAACTATTTGTGAACAGTAATCTGATCTAGGTCTGCTTCTAAAATGTCTTTAGGTAGCTCTTCATGCCTAGGTGACCTGCCAACCTATCTAGCCTATTTTTTATTGACTTCCAGAGTTCTCTCTCTGTTCTCCTATTCTCTCTAATACCTCTTCATTTCTAAACCTTCTCTATCCACGTTATCCTCATCATTCGCCTGTAACACCACATTTGGAACACTTCTAACCTTTTCTTTTCCGCCTCATCCACCGTACATGTTTCGCACCCGTACATCACCGCGCTTTAGACATTTTGTACACTAAGTCCTAAATAAACAGTAATTTTTGCATTGTAATACGTAAGCATATATGTTTTTGAGTATTACCTGCTACTAGCTTTTTATTACATATTTTTATTTTCGAAGTACCCTTGGTTCTTTCATGTTGACATGAAATCTAATCTAAAAACCGCGATCATGTCAATATGTTTCTTATTAAAGTCAAATTTCCGCAAAAAACAATTAAAAGGTTAATTCATTGTTTATTAATATGTACATAAACCTTTAAGTGATAAAAAGTTCACTATACACTTCTCATACTCTAACAAGTATTTAGTTGATGCAATTCTTTCCATTTCATGTGCAAAAATTTCATAATCTTAAACAATGCAGTCACTTCATATTTTTAAATGGTGTACAGACTTGTCATTACAATCAGGGTTGGGCTAGGTTTGGGTAGGTTAGCAATTTTTCGAAAATAAAATATTCAAAGGATGATCCAACTAGTTATACATAGACTATCATTCTATTTACATATGGGGAATCACAATAAACTATTATTTTGAATAATAGTGAGCTTGTAGGTGCCAGATAAATTCTTTATAGCTGTATTTATTTTGATTACTTCGATTTGAATAATCCATTAGAAAGATAGCGTTTTTTTCTATTGTTAGTACTATTTAGCATCTTTTTTCTATTTTAACTGTCGCCGTTGGAATGATTTGTAATTTTGTTATGTTGTCACACGTATGTAAGTGCCTATATGATCGTATTTGGAAAAAAACTGTTATCATTCAATTATGTAGATTAATAACAACACGACTATGTGTGTAATTGTCTTGTTTGAAGAGCTTTGCAATATTTGCGTTGTTAATCCTTTAGATTTACAAATTGTAAAACAGGTTGTCTTTCTTCGTCTTCTGGATATAAATAAAGGATGCCAGGTTGTAGGATTTTCAGTTGAAAGATTTTTTTTCAGTAAATTAGTACATTTGAAACAGTGGCTGTGGCTTACCTTAGTAGAGAACGGGTGCAATTTGTAAGTGTTTTGGAATTTTACTTTTTATTTCTTGTTAGAAAAAAAGTGGCAGAAATATCTACATATACGAATTCATTTCTAGAATTTTATAACAAAACAAAACTAAGAGTTACATATGTCATTTAAATATGCGGAAGTAATCTCAGTCTCATATTAAAATTATTCTAGTTAAGTTTCTCTTGTTGGGATTAATTTTTTTTCTGTCACTAACTCGTTTGTACCCGGTAAAAACTGGTTCTTACAATAGTACCTACAGATTAAATTGAGAATCCAATATAAGGATATTTTATTACATGAAATCGTTAAAGGGCACATCATTTTTTGGAAAATTTCAACCATTATTTTATATATATAGCATGTAAAGCTAATCTACCTTGAAAAATTATATACAAAAGGGCAAAACATTGATTTATGGCGTGATACAACCATAGTATTTATATTAATATGAAAATTCATTTGTCGAATTTTTTTACCCCCCTCAGGTTAATGAGCTTAGTGGTCGGAGCATTGGTGCGTAAAGCCAAAGGTCCCGGGTACGATTCCCGGCGAGGGTGTCACAATAGCTACAATTTATTAATCTGAAGTCGGTTGTAGTGCGTTAAAAAAAATCGACAAATTTCATATTAGAAACTAACCACTTCTAAAAAAAATGTCATAGTACTTATATTTTTTCCCAGGCCGGTATACGATTTTTTTACCATACTCATGCTACGAAATTACGAGTTAAACCACGCCTAGGATGCTAAAATTATTTCCCAATAGTGGACTGATACAATTTCTTAGCGGGTAGGGGATGCTTCCCTTTTTCGTCCTAGAAGTTTGCTTTTTAACGAACTTTTTCTGATTCTGTTACTTTGATTGTTAAAATTGTTCAACAGGTATAAAATCGATAAATCGAACGCCATATACTGCGTTTTCTTTTACTTTTTCTGATGAAATTCTTCAAAGTTCTAAAGCAGAAGGTCAGCTATGAAGTTATGAAATTGAACTAATAATACTCAAGAAAACCTCCATCGGTTTTAGCCACGCGCGCTAAATTTTTATGGAGTTGTTTTTAATAAACATTTGTAAGTAAGTAGTTTGTTGGCGGTTAATCCGATTACTGTCCTTATGCTCATTTATAATTAAGTTACATTTAAGATGAATAATTGACCATGTGACAAGTATTGGTTGGTTTTTAAGTGTTAGAAATGGGCAGCAAGCACCAGTACTTATTCGGATCGGTTAACTTAAAGGTCGAAAACAAACTTTACACGGCTACTTTTTATTTTGTTAACGTTTTGTGTGATTTCGTTTAAAAGTTAGCGGACAATGTCATAACTTAAGAGGCTGCTCTTAGGTAGGGCATATTTTTATTTATTCATTCTTATTTTTTTTTTTTTAAACATTTAGGATATTTATTGAGATAACATAATAATATAAGTCAGATAATTACTCATATGTATGTAATTTTTTTGAGCAATTCCTAGGAGAACATTAAATTATTGGAATATATATTTTTTAGAAGACATGCCTTCTGATTTTTGTAACTGATCGTATTCTTTTTGACTGATAGGAATTGTAAATCCCAATAGTAATGTTTGTTCAATTCCCATATTCAGAGAACAAAATGTTCTTTTGAAAATCCAACCCTGGCAATAATTGCGACTATTGTCCAGTTACGTCCAGGGACGTATTTCGGAGTCGCTCTAATAAGAGAACGAAGTCATAAATGGAACATTAGTTACAATTGTTTTTTCATTTTAGTAGGACATTACTAATAAATATTTAATTCATTTAATTTAGGCAATTAACGATATCTGTTAATCATTCTTGGATAATTTTGGAGAATTTTACGATAATCTGCTTTTTGTTGTTGTTTTTTTTTTTACTTTTAATAATGTTACTTTACTTCTTTTTCGTTATTATTCTACAATTTTATTTCTAAATCATATACAAGATTCTAAGTTTCGAAAAGACCAAAGTTAAATTTGTAGTTAACAGATAATTATAAAATTAACTTAGAATCTTG